CCCCAAAACCCCAAAACCCCAAAACCCCAAAACCCCTTTTACTACAATAATATTTGAAGTAAAATTCCCATAAAATGGACTCTCAAGATTTGAACGTAAACCCAGATGGCTCAAGGTATCCAGCCAGCGGTCAGCCAGGAGCCAAAGCTGAAGGCTTCAACGACTCAAAGAATCACAATGAAGATATGGATGACAACCAGCAAGATGAAGGTGAAGCCGACATCGAAGAATTTATTGAAATACTTGAAGAGCACTGTAAAAATTGTGAAAATGAAGGCAAATATGTCGAAGCTGAGATGGCCAAAAACAGGATAAAAGAACTCAAAGAGCAGAAAAAGCAAATGGACTTGGAAGAGCTCATGAACAGACAACAAAATGAAAATATTGAGCTTGAAGAAACCCATATTCTTGAGTTCAATAATTTTAACCAGGATTGGGACAAGAGAATGAACGCTTTTCAGATCCATAGTTCCACCTTGATCAAAGATCTAGAGCAAAAGCATATCGCGAAGCATGAGGAGTGGAAGGAAAGCCTTGATGAGAAAATCCCAGCTAAATTCAAACCCTCTTCAGAGCTCCTTAATCTGAGAAGGATCCAAATCAGCTTGGCCAAGCAGAAGGAGTATAAGGAAGCTCATCAAGTCCAGATCCGATCTCAGAAGCTTGAGAAAGAGGAGAAAGCTAGGTACGAGGAAGAGAGAAACGGCAAGATCATGAAGTCAGAAGAAAAGCTTTTCCAGCAACAAGATAATGAAATGGAAGCTCTCAGAAAAAGAATAATTGCAGGCGAGAATGAACAGAAGAAGCAACGTGCACTTGAGCTTGAGAGAATGTTCCAAAGATACCAGAACGTTAAAAAGGAGCTAGAAAACCAACATAAGATGGAAAGGATTAGGCTTGAGAAGGGCCAGACATTCGATCCAAATGCTAGCAAGATGAGCAGAATGTCTGCCAGACCAAAGACTGCTAGCTCTAGAGGAGGCCAAAGGTCCTCTGCAAAGAAACACAGAGCGGCTGCACCACCCAGCAATACAGGATATGGAAGATTTTAACAATTTTGGATAGTAGAGTTTCTAAATAAGATCTGCAGTCTGGGTAATGCAGACCATATTGCAGAATTATTTCAGAAAATTCCTCATCTCTTCAATTTAAAATATTTTGAACGGGGTTTTGGGGTTTTGGGGTTTTGGGGTTTTGGGGTTTTGGGGTTTTGGGG